GAATTTGTAACATACTTCAATGGTGCTAGGAATGGTGGCAACGTACAGGACACTTTGAATTTTCCATGTACAGTTGGAGAGGCACTTTCGAAGCCAGATAGGTACAGGTGGAAACAGGCCATGCTGGAAGAAATCCATTCATTCGATGAGAATGAAACATGGGAGCTTGTTGATCCACCAAAGGCTGGAACGGTTGTTCAGTGCAAGTGGGTGTTTAAAGTGAAAAGTGACAGTGAGAATTGGTGGCGAAAGGTTACACTCCAGAAGAGGGGGTTGATTCTGTTGAAACCTTTGCCCCAGTGATGAGACATTCAACCTTCAGACTATTAATAGGATTAGCTGTAAAATTAGACCTGATTATTTTACATTAGGACGTTCATACAGCCTTTTCGAATGAAGTGTTGAAAGAAAATGTTTTTATGCAACAACCAGGAGGGTTTGTCATGAAAAATAATGAGCATAAAGTTTACAAATTGAAAAAGGCTGTATACGGGTTGAAATAATCAAGTCGTGCATGGAATGAAAGAGTTGATGAAGTTTTGTCAAACATTGGGTATAAAAAATCCATATTTGAACTATGCTTATATATTAAGAGGAGTGAGTTGAATAATTCCAAGAAGGGAATAACCATAGTTGCACTCTATGTGGATGATTTTTTCTGTTTTTCAGATGACTCTGATGAATTCAATTTTCTTGAAGGGCATTCAAATTCTAAATTTGAAATCAAGTATCTTGGAGAAGCTGAACAATGTTTAGTAATAAGAATCAAACGGAATTACAATGAGAATTATGTAACAATTGATCAAGAGCTGTGTGTAAATGACTTGTTGAACCGTTTTGGTATGGCAGATAGCAAAATTATTTGTACTCCAGTAGTATTGACTTGAGTAAAGTAGAGGGCGAGATTTGTGATCCAACGATTCCTTACCAAGAACTTATTGGAAGCCTAATGTATTTAGCTGTGATGACACGCCCTGATATTTCTCATGCTGTACACTGGCAAAGTGCAAAACGATTACTCATTTATTTAGGGAACCAAACATTTTTTCATGAAATTTTGTAAAAATGATTCAGATCTGATAGGGTTCACTGATGCTGACTGGGGTTCAGACAAGAAAGATAGAAAATCTTTTACTGGTTATGTTTTCATGTATTCAGGTGGTTCAATTTCATGTAAGAGCTGTAAACAGTGGACAGTTGCCCTATCGACAACCGAAGCTGAATATATGGCTTTAAGCGAGGCAGCAAAGGAGGCCATTTATCTGAGACATTTTTTATATGATATCACAGGTGAATTGGATTGTATTGATATCTATAATGATTACCAAAGTGCCCAGTAATTAGCAGATAATCCAGTTTTCCATGATAAGTCAAAACATATTGACATTAGATACCATTTCTTCATTATCTGAAGATAAGATTAACTTGGAATATCTGCCAACTGATGAAATGGTAGCTGACATTTTGACCAAACCTTTACAAAATTGTAAGAATTCCAAGTTTGTACAATGTATAGGTTTGAATGATACCTACTTGATTTGTGGTTCATGAACAGTTTGTTAAGTGAGAATGTTGTAAATGTACCAAAAGGTTACTATGTATCATGTATACGATGGCGATTCTCTCACAAAAAATATGAAAGTTATAAAATTCACAAAGAGAAACTCAAAGTCATTACCACAACTAGTTCATAAAATGAACGACAATGGTAGATAACGAGAGAAAAACAACTACTCTCCTGGCTATATGCCACGCAGAACATTGCATTACATCCTCCCGAAACCTATGCGATAGTTCGTATAAACGAATAAAATCGCAAGTGTTTCCTTCCTAAACGCTGAGCTGCGCTTAAGTGGTTCAGGAATGCTGACTACCTGCAGACCGGTTTCGAGCTCTTGGCTCTCATCGGTACAGGGCTGTCCCAGATAGCTTCTTGACCGCTATCTGGTGCGAACCTGACCCAACGTAAACACATCTCAGCATTTATACCATACGAGGCGTTCGACGTCTGCGAAATGAAAACGCGAACGCCTAACGCCACGTGGCAAGGAAAGAAACTGAAATTGGAGTGGCGGGTTGCCCGACTGGCGTATTTTCAACTAGTTAAAAAGCCAAATACTCAAATATTCACCTGAAATGGGATTTTGTTTTGGAGTGTTTCTTTCCTTGCCAGGTGGCGTTCGGCGTTCGCGTTTTCATTTCGCAGACGTCGAACGCCTCGTATGGTATAAATGCTGAGATGTGTTTACGTTGGGTCAGGTTCGCACCAGATAGCGGCCAAGAAGCTATCTGGGACAGCCCTGTACTGATGAGAGCCAAGAGCTCGAAACCGGTCTGCAGGTAGTCAGCATTCCTGCTTGTTTTTCTCTCGTTATCTACGATTGTCGTTCATTTTATGAACTAGTTGTGGTAATGACTTCGAGTTTTTTTCCCTAGTTGATAAAATTCATGTGTCTTCCCTATCATTTCTGGACATCACATCTGGACATTATTTATGTTCAATAAACAATGAACCATTCATTTTCAATAAACAATGAACCATGAAGGTGATTTACTTCGTCTGCTCCCCCAAACTGAGTTTGGAAGGAGGCTCAAGGTAGCAACAGTGAAGAAAGACATCCACTGGATGTCTACAGTAAACCAGGGGTCAAAGCTATTGAATCGATCTGGGAGCAGGGGGCCAAGAGAGCATAGGCTTTAATTACACACTCTTGGGGAATTCTGGAATGCTGGTTGCTTTGAATAGATGTTTTGAATCGTCACTTCTTGTGACTTGAGTACTCTTACAGGTAGTTTTCTGGAATTTGAATTTGTTTTATATCTTTGTTTTCAGGGAAATCAGAATCACATAAACAGGTCAAGTATAGATTTTTTCAGCTTCTCTCGTTCATCAAAGGTTACAGGCATTAATTAAATGAAGCATATTCTTATACAATCAGGCTGATGTTATTAAATTGACCTTCACACCAAAAATTATGACATTTGACATACACAATAAATGCAGTTGACAGGCATGTCGGCTGACGTATGGCAGTCACGAGGCACAGAGTGTTCTACTGCGCTTATGCATACAACTTTCACGAGTGCAATAGCAAAGCGTGTCTAGTACCTTAGGTGTGAGTGCAGGCGCAAGCAAATCAGGGACAATGAACCACCGAATACGACCGGAAAATTTGCAAGCGAGGGTCTATTCAGGGAAGTGAGTTCGGTATCGTTACGAATGACCACAGGAATGAAATCGTTTAGTTGAATCATGAACGCGGATCATACTGGTGAAGAGTACTCCTTCAGAGTGTAGCTCTAACTCTGGCTCATAGCAGTATCCGGAAGCCGTCTGCAGGTTGACTTGCGAATCCTACTTTTCTCAAACAAAGGAGACAGGCCCTGAATCCACACAGGCGGGCTTCCAATCTCGAAACAATCGGAGTAGGGTGTCCCTAAGCTTGTCCACCCAAAGGTCGAGCCGCAGAGCAAAGCTTAGGAGACACTAATATTTTCAAAACAGTATCTACGTAACCTATGAACTCTGAACTTCTGAACGTGGAGTATTCTTTAACAGACAAGGTTTTGATCTACTCAGGCGATAGTTCACTAGATACAGAACTCACTGAGTACAGGGTGGTCACTGATAAACTACAAGCATTAAGCTTATGAAAACCAATTTGAAATAGCTCACTTAGATGAAACGGGAGTACTGCTGGTTGGGAAACACTCGACACTGCTACTGGCGCGACCACGAAATCTCGGATATCGGCACGGGAGACGCAAATCGAAACACTCGATGAAATAATACTGAAGTAATTGCAGCTAGGTTAGGATTTCTAAATTGTAGCTAAAGGCACAAACAGGAAAACGATATGCTGTAACTGAATTAACTGGACTGTGAAAAGTGACTGGAATCTGAACTGGAAAGCAAAGCAAACTGGAATACCTAACTGGAAAGCTATCTGGACTTGTTAACTGGAAATATAGTGCAAGCACAGAAACACTGGTAAACCGACTGGAAAGTGATACCGGAGAACTGAACTCAAGAACTCAAGGACTGAAGAACTGTAGAACTGTCGAACTCTAGAACTAACTAACTGTCGGCTCACTGCTCCGATGGACCGAGTATTTATGTCCTGCCTAGACCTTGACGCAAATTGAGCAAGGCCAACAGCTATCCCTGCTCCTGATTGACCAGTTTCGACTGACCTCGTGAAAATGCCGGTAACAACTTTGAAAGCCGAAGTCGTCCTTGGAAAAAGAAAAACGCGGAAATAATATTTTCTTGGCCAAAAGGGCCCAGGCACATGATCAACCTTCTTCGCTGAAGCTACTGAATCAATATTTTTTATATCCTACAAGCAGAAATATTCAAGTTATTGCTAGGTTAATATTTTCATCTTCAAGGTCAAGGCCGAACATGTGGAATTTATGAATTTTCAGGAAATCTCACATTCAGGGGCTTTCAAAAGTTGCAGGAACTCCTCTCGCATCCTCCAAGATTACATTTTACTCTATTCATCAGGATTGCTTTCCAAATATAATAGAGGCTTCCAAAGAACTTTCCATACTTGTAGATCAAAGAGTCAATTTCTGGAACTAGGACAGGGCTATAATGACAAGAAAGACATCCCTAGTAGTTGGTATACGAGACTGATATCTTTCAGAATAGGTTTTCCATGAGGAGGTGTGTAACGAACCGCATATTTTCAATGTCTGCAAGATTTTACTGGAATATTATCTCGGAATGGAAATATATACGATAAGACAGGAATTCAGATAGAAACCGTTCCTTAGTAATGAAATCCTAAAAAACACTTCATTACAAATAAACAAAGAATTATTTATTCTCAATGAACAATGAGAAACACAAAAAATTGAAGGTGATTCTGTAGCAAAAAATATAAATAAAGGTGATTCTCTAACAAAAAATCTGAAATGTGAAAGAATCATGTTTCTCTCCTATTTCTGGACAGCCTTTGTTTTGCATGCCTCAACCAGTTAGAGCATATTTCCTACACTTTTTTATTATTCTCTCCATGCACCTCTAGTACTACATCTGGAAATGAAGTAAACAACAAAAATTGGCAGATTCTTTTGAAACAAATCGGGAAAGAAATTCATTCCAAATTTCTCAGAACATTATATTCTTCATTCAACTACCTATACAAAATACACAGAAGGTAATTTTTCTACAAACGTCAAAAAATGACAAGGTTCGCGCATTGATAACAAATTGCGAAGTGACGCTTTTTTTCAGTTTCCTACGTTACTATTATACCTTGCACAAAACAATGCGCGAAGTAAAACAGGCGCGAAGTACCTACTTGTATAATGTTATGTCAAATATATGAGATATTTATATTTCAACATTATGGTAATCAATCAAGCAAACATCCACGAAATCATTTATTTCTGAATGTTCAACAATAACTTTGTTTTATCTCTTGGAGTGCACAAAAGGAAATTCTTTTTGTGTTCAAGGAACATCGTGCGTATCTTGGGAGGATAGGTGGAGGCCTTTTAAGCCCGTTCAACCCTATTTTTCATATCAAGCTAAGCATATTTTTTATTTAAAACTATATGTTTTGACGTTTGTAGAAAAAATGTTGTTTGCAACTCGAGCGCGAAATACTTTGGTCATCTCGACTATTTTTCTAACTCGGCTACGCCTCGTTAAAAAAATCTAATCTCGATCACCAAAATAGCATTTCGCGCTCTAGATACAAGAATAACTGTTGAAATCACTGTCAGATAAAGTGAAGAAATAAACATTCAGATGGAATAAAGAAAAGAGGGATTTCTCATTATTTCAAATTCATGATTTCCCAAGATTTGAATAAAACTCACTTCTTAAAAGTTTTGTTACCCTCAAATCTGTCATTCTGATGTTTTCTCGCTGCCCCAACCAAGAACAGTTCACTGCAAAAGTATCTTCAAAGAATGTCTTCAATATTCTGTGTATGTGTTCTTTTGAATCTTTCCCTCCGATCGATTTAAGGAATTTCACCTTCAAAATGAAAAAAATCAATGAAATGATATACAGCAAATGTTGAATAGCCCTTCTGAATGCAACCTGCTCTTGGGATGCTCATGTCAACATATTATTATTATTCATTATGAAATATGAACATTTATTGAAATTGTTCGAAACCTCTCGAATGTGAGAATGAAATTGACCAGCCAGGTAACTTACCGAAGTAAGATTGTTTTCTTTCTTAGCACAAAACATTTCAACATGTTTCATCTAGTCCAAATTTTTTATAGGAAGCATATCAGTAATTACTTTCATTTCATCACTTACCCTTTTAGTTTCAATTAAATTTTTACGTATTTCTCCAACCAACAATTTGGTTTCAGTTATAGAGAATAGTATTCTTCTCAGAATGGTACTATGATCTACAAGCAAATAATGATGTATCATTGGGAGAAGAAAACAACAAAATATTACCACAGTTGGAGTTTTCTATTGCTGTTCCCAAATTATCTTCTGTTCCTGAATTATCTTCTGTTTCCAAATTGTCCTGGGTTTCTGAATATTCAAAGGAATTTTCTCTTCTTTGTGATGGGTCTTGTCCGAAGGATGATATATTAAGTGGGTCCTCATCATTGACTGATTCAGCTGTTGTTTCATCAAGAATATCCTCCTGTCTCATTATTTCTGGTGATAATAGTTCAGTTATCAGTTTTGTTCCCTGAGAATGTGTTTTTCCTGAAAGAAAATTTGTTGAATCGTATAAATAAAAACATATTTTCTCTTACTGGGACTTGATATAAATGAAATATGGCTCTCTTCTTGTGAGTTTCCTGTAGTCACTGAAAAAAACTCAATAAATGATATACACAAGGATAAGTATATATTCAAAACTGGCATGGTGTACTGATATGAAAGGGGGCATTCAAAAAAGTTTTCTTACCCAATTGAGATTCCCACGGCATCGGTACTTTAGGAAGAGGCAAATTTCCTGAAAATATAAACAACTCAATTATGAGTCTCATCACCTTCAACCGAAACATACTTTTTGAAAGATTTTTTTCCTCAGATGTGTCACAAGATTTTTGTCTTCTTTTCTGTCTCTCATCTATACCTATCTCCATTTCTGTTTCATCCTCGGATTGATCTTCATCAGACATATGGCTCAATTGCTTTTTTTTCTTAATCCTTTTTCCTCTACCTTTTTCTGTGTCTGTTTCATCTGTGTATGACATATCTTCTGCCTTCTTTCGAGCTTTGTCCAAAGTATCTACAATTATACCATATTTCAGGACATAATTGGAAATATCTCAACAAAATAAAATAACTTACTACAAAATTCTACAACAACTTCATGTTGTTCCCAGTCATCTGAGGGGCTGAATGTTTTATTAATGTAATTTGAAGCAATTTATGGGGCCAAAAGCATCTATTATGTTGTTTATTCAACCAGGTGGTTGGAATTTCTGACACTGTTCCATCATTAAATTTGACCACAGCATAATCCATGTTCATCTGAGAAAAAAAAAGACAGATTTTTTTGATCGATTATATGTATGTAGATTAATTTTTTGAAAAACTTATTTCTTTCTTCTAAACTTGAAGTAATCAATTAGTGGCGGATAATTCATAACAAAAAATAACATCAGCCGGGTACCTGGTACACAACCAAACACACAAATTGCATATTCAGCTTCAAACTACTGGAAACAGTATCAGAGTCAATCTTTATGTATCAAGGGTACAATTACATTGGTTTGATTCTGTACCCATTTTGATTTTCAAACATTTTCCATTAATTTCTGATATGTTGATCTTATGGATTTCATCACTTAGTTTTGTGACAATGACAATATTCAGAAGTTCTGATTTAAGAGGATAATCAAATAAAGATTGATAGTTGATAAACTCTTTCGCAAAGACAATTACACTTCACCTTCTTGAACAGTAATATCACAGATTTATAATGTGAGCCATTTTCACGTTCAAAGCAATTATTGAAAGAAGAAGCACTCAATGAAAAACTTCTCAAAATTATTTCCTTCACATTATTATCGCTGGAGTGTTTTATAACTGGATAATTTTGTGTTGTTCTCCTCACAGGTGATGCATAATCTTCTGCCAATCTGTTGTGAAATTGCGGCAAAGGATTACTTGATACTCTAATTTTATTTTCAATATGTTGCATGTGATTCTCGTATCTGAATGCGCTGAAATTTTCAAGAGGCCCAAATAATCTAGTATTATTTGTCAAATGTATTAAATTAGGCACATTATAGCCAACATATTGTTGTCCATATAATTTGGAATAATTGGTTAAAAACCAATTTAACAAACATTGTACATTATCACCAAGCTTCAAATGTAAACCATTGTGTGACAATATTCTGATAGCAATACTCAATATAAAAAAATGATCATGATAATCTACAGCTTGAATATTTTTCATAACTATGGGTCTAGTATAGAGAAGAAATTGACGCAATTCACTTGCTTTTCAATAGTCTATTTCATAAATTGATCTAGGTTTACGGACAAATTCACCTGTGATACAAGGTTTGATCGCATTCAAATGCTTAGAAATTGTTTCCAGGTCATGTTTCTTCAATCTCGCACTCATTCTGCCATGAACCCAAAATTGTATCAGTTTTATCATCACTCCCAGATACACCAAATGCATTGGACCATTTGGAACTTGAGATACCATACCAATGTTCAAATTCTCTAAATATGATAACCAGTTATGGTGCTCAGGATAACTTTTCAACTTGAAAGAAAGATCAGTTCTTAAATCAGAATTAGTATTAAGATGAACCACTCTGTTATTACTGAAGTTTCCCTCTGTTATACACTTGGAACACCCAAAATAAGCACCATGGCCTTTGATACCTGTTACAAATGCTTTTGCTGGTGCATCACAAATTATTGCATTCAAAGTAACATTATTATCTATGTGGATTCCCTCGCTTGAAATTATTAGAAAATCATCTATAAAATATTTCAAAAATTCATTTGCACTGGATGGTGTGTGAAACCCATGGAAAACACCTATTATGAATGGTTTTGTGTGAAAATCCTCAACCAAACAGCCTAATATAGGCCAAAACTGGCTTCCTGAACTTTTGCACAAGGGTACTCCATCTATATTGATACTCAATGTTACATTTGTTGGTACTTTCTTATAATATGTTGATATCTGATACCTTTTTTCATACCAAAATTTTCCACCAGCCAATTCTGACATATTCGGAGCCACTGACCTAGGAGTTTTCATCAATGTCCTGGAATCTTTAGGTAAATTTGCCAAACTTTCTGTTTTTCTCAAAATTATTGATAACCCATTCAGCGCAGATTGAGATATATTGAATTTAAGAGCCCATACACATAATAACTCTTCTAAATCAAAACGTTCATCAAGTGAATCATTTTGTTTCGTTTAGAGAAGGCTGATGGGATGGAAATATTAGCTCTAGTCGAGGCTTCAGTAGAAATTATCACATCATTGTCATCTGCTGAAACTCCTTCCTCAGAAACACATTCTGAGAAAGTTTCAGCATCAGCTCTCATGTTCCCTGAAGAATCCATAAATGCACAGGCGGCATCAGAGACAAATGAATAATTGTTTGGACTACCATGATCGGATATATTCAAAATACCAGATGTTTTCATTATAATTCGTCTTTTATGACGATATGAGTGAGATGAAAAAGAACGCTTTGACATGGTTTCAAGTTCCAAGTGATTCCAATTTCCAAGTGGAAAATGAAAATTTATTTATACTCACCCCGGCTTTTTTTACTCTACTACTACAAACAGGAACACTGAACAGCGTGCCGGTGCCGTGTGCCGTGAAACGAAACGATGATGAAACGAAAGTAACGAAACGGAAACGACGCTAATAAAATACCTTCAGTGTCAACTGTCAAGTTCCAGTGTCACGACTGTCACGAGTCACGACCAGTGTTGCCACAATCTTCTTTTTGATCGAGATAGATTCCTTGAACGAAGCGGTGTAGAACAATTTCGAAACGAGGTGGCTTCAATCAAATTGATCAGCGACTCAAGTGAACTATTTCGCTATTGTATTCATCCTGTCTCATAATCGAGCTCAAAAATACATGCGAAATTCTCGCGAGGGTAAAATGATATCGGCAACCTTGGATGGACCTACGGACTATGCTATTTTGCCTCTCGCAAAATATAATGTATTACTCGTACCAAAAAAGTAATAAAAACCCACCAAAAGACGGGATTTGTTAAGATTTTGTTTTTGTATACCCAATACAAATTAGACGCACAATGAACAACTGCACAATTTCATCCTACTGAAGTAAATTCATAATATTGCTGTGTTGATAGAATGATGTAAAATTTCATTTCATTTTATTTGAATTTCCAATTCTTGGAGTAAGAATAATCTGAATGAAAATTCCCAAAGATATGTAAATTTCAATAATCTGTAGTGAAAATCAATAGGTACTACTATAATAATAATTATTATTATTGGTGACCAAATTATATTCAGCTATAGCAATATATAGCACATATTATCCCTCAGAGATATGTCCTATGATATCTAAGAGATGTCGCAGATGAGTGTACTTCTGTACATCGCAGCGATGCAACATTCGCGATAGAAAGATATGTCATATGTCGCAGATGTGTTTACTTCAGTACATCGCAGCGATGGAACATTCGTTATATCGCAGTGTTGCCTCATCGCGATATCTCAGAGATTCCAAGTTGCGCATGTTTGCTAATGTACATTGCAGCGATAGAACATTCGTAATATCGAAGTGTTGCCTCATCGCAACATCTCAGAGATGTCATGTCGCAGATGTGTTTGCTTCTGTACATCGCAGCGATGGAACATTCGTATTATCGCAGTGTTGCCTCATCGCGATATCTCAGAGATGTCATGTCGCAGATGTTCGTTTATGTACATCGCAGCGATAGCACATTCATAATATCGCAGTGTCGCCCCATCGCGACATCTCAGAGATGTCATGTCGCAGATGTGTTTGCTTCTGTACATCGCAGCGATGAAACATTCGTAATATCGCATTGTTGCCTCATCGCGACATCTCAGAGATGTCATGTCGCAGATGTGTTTGCTTCAGTACATCGCAGCGATGAAACATTCGTAATATCGCTGTGGTGTTGCCTCATCGCGATATCTCAGAGATGCCATGTCGCAAAAGTGTTCGCTTATGAACATCGCAACGATGGAACGTTTGTGATATCGCACTGTTACGTAGACGCGACATCTCAGAGATGTCATGTCGCAGATGTCCCAGCCAGCAGGGTGACGTCAATTCTCGTCGAATCGACGTGGAAAATAGGTGGCAATTGGTCGTCGTCAAGATTCGACCAATAAATGATGTGATTTTGACGTCTTCCAAAAACGTATCTGATAGACGTCATTTGACGTCATTTAGACGTAACATCTGCACCAATCATGTTGTTTCATTTCGAAGAAATTACTCCATGAACTGCATATCTAGGACTCCTGATTAAACGCTTATCAAAATAAAATATAGGTACCTACCTTTGTAAAGGATTCACGTATACCCGACATGGATAAACCTAAGTGGTGAAATATGTAGAACAAATAATCTTAAAAAACACCCTGATAGAGATAACTTGGAAACAGATACGAAAGATCCAAGAATTTATTAAATGTATACAAATATGGTTATACCAGGTATGTTTTATATTGGCGCGCCACGTCAAGATATACAGATGCTTATGATTGGTCAATCCGTGCTCCGTGGCTTCGTGTTTCTTCGTTTCGTACTATGCCATCGCTACGCTACCCCTATCGGCCATCGTCGTAGCACAGTTTGTAGTAATCATGCGCATGCGTGATCAAGTTCATCGAATGTTCTAATGGCGGATTCCTGATTTTGGGTCATTGAAAACAAGGATACTATGGAAAAGTGGGGTTCAGCTAAATATATTGCAGTACGCTGGTTATTTTATCAATTCCAGGCAGTAGAAATGTTTATGGGAAATATTCCGAGGAAAGGCATTGCTTCATTGCTCTCGTTCAGCAGAAGTGGTTGACCCCATGACGCCTTGTAGGGCTGCGAAGTGTAGTGGCCGCCTATCAAACAGCAAGACTTTTTCAACAGGTCAATAATCAAGAAAGCGAAATCTACAAATGGAACTTATTGGAAGTTGTTCGATTTAGTGAGGTCGTTATTTGAAGAAGGTGATCTATAAATACCTCAAATCGTAGGTACAAGAATAATTTGAGGTTATTAGGTTGAGATTCCTTTGAAACTTGAGATATTGGTTAATACCTATGTATAATTATGTAAACAAATAAAAAATTATCACAACTATTGTAACTAGATCATTTGAACTGTTTTGCCAACCATCAAGGAATAGGATCATGAAAAAGTGATTTCGAATTTCACATTTTCTTGGTGATGTAGAAACCTGGACCTGATGCTTGGTAACTATTCGACGTGTAGAAGACGTCACTAAATGACGTTGTAACGACGTCGCTAAATGACGTCGTTTCGTTGTGACATATTGAAGTCACATTTACGTCTCTTTCACGTCGATAATTTGGTGATTTCGACGTAATTGGTGACGTGTATATGACGTGAAATTGACGTGTGAATGCTAGCTGGGGTGTTTGTTAGCGAACATCGCAGCAATAGAACTTTTGCGATATCGCACTGTTACCTAGACGGGACATCTCAGAGTTGTTATGTCACAGATGTGTTGGCTGGGTTATAGATGTATATGGCTCAAACTATCTGCAAGACTTTTCTACAGATGGAAGGATAAAATCCATTTATATCTATGAAAATGAACAGATCCCTGAACAAATGCAGGAAACACAGGAACAGATGACTATAGACAGCAGCATTGATATCGATTCTGATACAGACTTATTCAATGAAACTCTGTCAAGCCAGAGGTCAAGCCCAACATGTAAGGCCTGCTCAAAATAGTCTGCGATTTGAAATGTATCACATATAATTACCTCATATCTCTTTCTTCAGGGCACTTTGCAGAATCAACTTCCAATATAGCATCATAATATCATTATATCCTAAGATGACCAGAACCACCCGCAAACACATCTGTTAACTTTACATCACTGTTAAATAACATCAACGGAACTTTTTTTAACATTTACGTAAATATTCCATAATACCTCTAAAATATGTAAACCTCGTATTTATATAAAATATTTACGTAAATATTCCATAACAATTCTGAAATATGTGAACCCCATAATTATATAAAAATATACATTATTATGATGTAACTGATATGTGAAAATTGTATATCAATATAAAAGCTCATATGATAGCTACATGACTTTACTAGGACTCTCGGCCGTAAATTCTCTGCATACTTGATTCTGTGCCAATTAAGGATATTCGTTGGGATGATCAGTACCCTTGGTCTCGCGCTGTAGCGTTCCACCACCGTGATGATTATTATTTTTCGCCCTCGCACTATAGCGTTTCTCCGTGACCACTTTGAGGTTATAAGTAATAAGTGAAGACTTGAAGACTGAAAGCATTTTTGGTATTTTCTAACTATTGCGAGTGTTTTTCTTGTTTCCACCAATTTTCTGCGCTGTAGCGTTCCCCCTTCCCACATGCCCGATTCCCATTGGTTAACTACTTTGAGGTTACGACTTATAATTATCAG